GGTGTGGTTCTTTAGATGAAGGGCTGCCGAAATATGTCCTCCTACAGTAGTTGATAAACTCGACTAAACCATTGTAATAAGGAAGAAACAAAGAGGTGTGATACTTCCACAGAATTTACGGGGTAGCTGATTCTTCAAGCGTCAGATCGGTCGTGTGCAGTGAATTGCGTCAAAGCGGTGCAAAGTTTGCTTGAGAAATAGAGAATAAGTCAGGTTCGAGAAAAATGGAATCGCAGATTCAACTTGTATCGGGAATGGAGTGTGTGACTTACAGTTACAGTGGCCAGGATGACTAAGCGCAAAGATTCTTATCAAATAAAAATCCTGAGCAAAAAAGCTTTTAACATACTAAGACGGCTTCAAAGCTCCACCAGTGGTGTGCAGCCGCCACGCAGTAATACCATCCGCTGCATTTATCATAAGTGCCAAAGGAGAAATTTCAAAATAGCCAAGTATTTGAGTGACGTCTTGTGTATTTGAAGTCCTCTTAGACATTTTCAAAAAAGATAGATCTCAAAAAATGTTTAAAAAAATGTCAGGGATCAAATAGCACAAGTAGAATTGGCTGAATGCTACGCTTTTAATAAACAACCATATATTGCTTAAACCAAAAGTGTACACCGATTTGAATGGACAAATAAGTACCAGACAAAACATGAAAAAAATGAACAGGATATAAACACATTAATGGCCTAAAACTATATGATCATCAATTTCATTAATGCGTGGGCTAACAATGTATATTCTAGCACTGCACACTGTAGGCGAATCAAGATAAATATCCGCTGCATTACTGGCACTATTATCAGATTTAAGCCTTGGGGGAGACATAGAGGTTACTTAAACTACGCGTCTGCAACATTGCAATTCAATGGATCGATGTGTAATGAGAGCGCAAAGCGTTACAGATTCATGAGTAGAACAGTTGATAGAAACAAACTCAGTACCAAAAACAGGGTTTATAGTACATGCATACACTTGGAAACAAGTTTACTGCTCGCTTTGATGCAATACATACAGTGAAATTCAATAGACCACAACGACTCAACTTTCAAAAATAATAATATAGTGGGGCGAAAACGTACCAACCCTCCGATTTCTATGTTTATTCCGCCTCTTCAAACGATTAACTTGCTGATCTTGTGAGAATAATACGATTGATTTCTGACATACCGCCGGTGCATGAAGGTGAGGGATATTGGTAGATCTTAAATAAGGTGTAGACGTATTTTTATAAGGGATATAGTTATAAAGTAGACTCATCTATTGAATGTACTGGAGAGGAATGTTCTTTGAAATAGTGAAAATGACAAAGTTTTGTAGAGACAAGTCTGGCGTCTAAATAAGGTCTATTTTGAGAAGGATTATAAAATTTACTCTTGCAACAAGAAGGCATTTTGGCGGAGTCCAAGTTTTTCACCTCTCTATTTTGCAATATAAATGGTTGCCATAGACATCAGGATCGCTGAAATAGCCACAATCTTGTAACAAGTTATCAATTACCTATAAGTCAAACTTCACCCTTTTCAATGGTAAAAGATGAAAGCTAAATTCTGATTGAGAAATGTGGCAAACATAAAATGTGGACGATAGCTGTAAGTGTGCCTAGCGCAGAATAAACGCAAAAATAAAAACCTAACGTGATATTTCTGAATGGAAAAATATGGGGCCATATGCAAGTCAAATAATAGAGGCTCTCATATTTGGGCCGAATTTCAGCATATCATAGCCTTAAAGCGCAAAACTTAAAACGCACCCATTTAACGAGCAGAACCTTTGCATGCATGCGATTCGCAGACTCCGATTGCACTAAATTCGAATGTTGGCTATTAATCATTTTTAATTTCATCGACTCAAGGACAGTTAAGACTATCAAGCTTAGTAATGCGTGCTGGTTGACCGTGCGACTATAAGAAATATTCAAAGAGAGCTTTCAGCTCACACCTAACTGAACAAGTGGATACGATCTCAACTAAAATGTGGCACCGGAATTAGCCTGCATCTTTGAAGCGGAACTGGACAGGGCATTTAGTGTATTTCAAAAGACCACTTTCTCAGACACAAATTCAACTAAGTGAGAATGGAAATAAGCATGGTATTTGTATTTGTTAGCACTTAGAATGAGCCAAGTCTAGACACAACTGATACAAGTAGTCGATCAAAGCCATCAGCAAAAAAAGATAGATGAAAAACATAACAGAACTTCGTAAAAAGTAAGCAATAAAAGTTCACGCACAATTATAGAGGGATCCCAAGCCAATCTACCGAAATAAGAATTGGAGATTATGATCGATGCGAAAACTATCTGAATCAAGAAGAACCCTAGCAGAATGGGAAATTTCCGTACGGATCCTGTAAAGACGAGTGAAGAGATCCCTAGGTTTGAGAAGCATGCCATTGAAAGACATCACCGCCACAGGACCACAAGGTATTTCGAGTAGCGCTACAGTACCCTTGGCTAGTAGCATGAAAAGCAACAGCTTATACAAACAAATACAGGGTGGCAGCGCCAGCAGTGTAAAATAACAAAATATTATCTGATATCGATATGCAGCTTTGAGTTAATGGTTAAAAGTC